TAGAAAAGCCAAGAAAGGTAGAAATTCCAGAAGTCTCTTGCATTTCTTTTTGAGTTAGTATTGGCAGGATTTTCAATATGTTTCACAATATAATCTAAAATATTTTTTTCCATCTTATATTCATTAGGAATGAATATTAGTTTCCCAAAAAAAAAATTAATAGAAATCATTTGGAAGATAAATTAGAACAGAATTTAAGATTAAAACAATGCCTTACACTAACTTAAAAAAAAATTGATGATGTAAAACCCATTTAATAAAGCCCAATCACACAAGCGACCTCCATCTTATTTAGAGACCCTGTTTGCCATGAACGACACTAAAAACAAAAGACGATAGGAATCATTGGCTTATTGGCTTATTTAGAATGATTTATAAATAATTTTTTAATCATAATTTACAGAATATGAGGTAAGTATGTGAAAAGAGTTTTGTCTCAACTTATATAAAATATGCTTATAAGTTCTTACAAACATGATTCCAAATTAAGTCTAAGAATCCTATAAAAATTAAGGGTCAATATAATTTTTTATTCCTAAAATTTGAGCTTTTTTTATTTTGGTCCCTTAAATGTCAAAATCATAGTTTTACTCTCTGAAATTAGGGGTGGTAGTACAGGCCAACTCGCAATCGTGAGAGATTGAGTCCATATGGGTCAAGTTAGAAAGATTTGTTCGAAGGTAGGTTGGCTTTCAGCTGACCTTAACCCTCCAAGGTCGATGGGTCCATAAATAATCATTTACTTTTTTTGAATTTTTTTTACTTTTTAATATTTTTGCCTATACAATATCCAAAAAAAATTATAATGAGATTTTTGTTTTTCTTTAAAATATTTGATTGAAAGAACCAAATAAATTGTATAGGTATTTTTTTAAATTTTTTATATAGAATATAATATATAATAATATAATTGTAATAATTAAAAAATAAATGCAGGTTAGCTCGGCATAGGGTTGTGGGCTTGGTAATGCAAGTTAAAAAAACTCGTTTATTGGTTCGTTGGTTTTTAACCAACTGACGGGTTGGCAGGTTGAACCTATGGGTTCAACCCATATTACCAGCTCTACCTAAAATTTATTTTGTCTTAAAATACTAGTTTTTAGAGGTGTAACAATATTAAAATCTGTTGAAACATTGTAAACAACGTTATAATGATAATGCGAAATCATCTTATGACACCTATCTGGATATAAAGGGGGATGAGTTTTCAAAATGCAACGTAATGAATAACTGCTCAAAAGGATAGCAAGAAAAAAAAGAGCTCTAAACAAATGCATTTTGAGGACCTAATTTTTTTATTTTTATCATCTACTATCCGTATAAGATTCGGATATGTATTATTTGGTAAATTCACATCATCACTTTAATGCTGTTTACGACACTGTAGTAGATTTTGACACTATTACATTTCAAAAGACTAATGTTTAAAGACAAACTAAATTTTAATGACCAAAATCACGAGCTTAAAATTTGAGAGATCTAAATCAAAATAGGTATGGATTTAGGGACTAAAATTCATATTAATCCAAAAATTAACATAAAATAGGACCTATTTGTGATTGGAATTTTAAAAATTACAGTTCAAATTTCTATATTTAGAAAACTTAAAAGATTCTCATTTTACATTAATTTTTTCACAAAGTCATAAATTATTCCCTAAAAATAATCTGAACCATACAACCGAGTAGTTTAGAGTGCTTCCCTAACTGCAAGCTCCTATCGAGGGACGGGACTTGGATAGTGCCTGACTAGCAATCTTATCATGTTTGTGCAACACCTTCTTAATTCATTGAAAGTCACTATTGCTATGAAATATTATGGTCACAATGGATTGTGATTTGTGAGTTACCAAAAGATGATAAAAAGATAATGAGGTTCGACAAATAGCATATTAATTTTTTGAGAAGCGTTCTTTTGATAAAACATCATCTCTGGAAATTGATTGGCTAAAGACTAGAGTATATTTTTAGTTTTTTAATTTTATATAAAATTTTAATTTAATCTTTTAACTTTAAAAAAATACATTTTTAATTTTTTAATTATAAAATCATTAACAAAAAATAATGATATTGAGATTTTAAATATTGATAAAACATTATAAAAAAATTAACATATTAAGTTTAATTTTTAAAACAACTATAATTATTACAAAAAATTATCATGTTAACAATGTTAAGATTACAAGATTAAAAATACATTTTTTTTAAAATTAAAAGACCAAACTAAAAGCATATAAAGTTACTTCAGCCGAAATTGATTTGATCTCATAGTCCAGGTATTGTTACCCCATATGCTCCAAAGTCGTCGGCGATTGGCATGTCCATTACAATGAAAAGAATTGATTTGATCTTTTTATACGCATAACAACGCCGTTGGAAGATTGGCTTGTAAATAAAGCAAAATGAGAAGTGATTTGTGTTTGGACATCTCCGATGGCGTATGGGACAAACTTAATCAGGCGGAGTCCGAGATGAACAACACACACCCAGAACTGTCAATGACTTTATCAAAGTGCTCATGTTCTTGTTCATCTCCTCCGTTAACTCTCCAAAGAGGCAATAATAGATTAATAGAATTCTCTCCAGTACAAATATGTAATGCATCAATTAATGATGTGACCATGACAGATAATTTCATCTGTGCCTTTTACAGTATATGAGTATGTACAGGAAAATTGCTTCTATATTTCTAGCCTTTTTTGACACTATTCTCTCAAAAGGAAGATAACAAACTTTCCAAGTAATCACTTCCCAAGTCTTGAAACTTAAAAACATCATCTTCTTCATTCCCTGTCACCCCTCCCGAGCTTGCCATTTTCTTCTTTGCAGGTTCTTCATTCATCATGCCAACAAGTTCATCTCTCTCCCTACACCTTCTTTTTCTGGAGCCGCAGAAATTTTCTTCACAGTTTCCTTTCTGGTCAAATCCTAAGGCATTTGAGACAGTCTCAAGTGGGAAATTCAGGTATGCCTTAGGGCCTCTAATTCTCAAAGCAGCCTTATCATAAGCCAAGCTGCTTCCTCTGCTGTGTCAAAAGTCCCAAGCCAAACCCTAGCACCTTTCCTTGATGAGTCTCTGATTTCTGCAGCATATTTCCCCCATGGCCTTCTTCTCACTCCTCTGTAGTGTTTTGCAGAAACCCTCTTCTCTGCTTTCACTGTCACTGCTTCTTTTTCTTCTTCAACCTTCTCATTGCATTCAAAAGCACTGCAAATTTCTGAATTGTTACTGCTACAAGCTGGAAACCCATCTAAGATTTCTTCCCAGAACTCAGCTCCCATTGATATCCATCTTCCTAAACTAGGAAGCCTTCTCAGAACTTCCAAAGACCCTTCTCTTTCACGCAGATTAGGCAGTTCTCCCCATTGTGATCCATTGTTGCTGTCAATAATTTTAGCCCACACGTTCTCAAGAATGCCTTCAGAAGCTGAATTTTGATTGCCATGAATAGCCATGTTTGTTAACTGAAGAGAGATAAAGGGAATGATGATTTAAATATATAAGAGAAGGTGGGTGAGCATACTCAGAATGAAGACACTTTTGAGCGTTGACAGCTCAGCTTTGCTTTGTTCTGCTAAATGAGTTGGTAACTTGTGCTTTAATCCGCTGACCAGCTAGTTCTGCGAGGGATTTCAGTGTTTTCAACACAAAGGAATAAAGGAAAGACTTTTGAGCAATGGGAAATTCGTTATTTTAATGTTTACTCTCTTGACTCGTGTGCCTGTTCAATTACCTGGGACCTTTTCCCTTGTAGATTCTATGTACTTTACACATTGAATTCCTCTTGTTATACACAGAAACAATTAAGCAAAGCATCTGAAAGCTGGCAAGGGAATATCAGGCGTATGGTTCTGTTGCTTTCTGCATAGTTGCCATTATGTGTTTGGCACAAGCTTCTTCAGTTTCAAAATTATAGCTCCTTCAATATATCAGAACAGAGATTGCCGTTTAATTAAGTTTATCTATTTATGTTTAAGCCTCAAGATTATTGAGGCTAAGGATTAATTCAACCGTATGTTTTTGCAGGATTTGTGCTCTTGTATTCTGCATCAGACTTGATGATTACTAAGAAAACCCTTAAAATATTGTCTCTTACGACAAGAGAAATGTAATACCTATGATGTGTAATTCAACCACGTATGTTTGCAGGTTTTGTGCTCATGTATTCTGCATCAAATTTGATGATTATTAAGAAAACCATTATAATATTGTCTCTTACAACATAAGCATGTAGAATTTAAGATATGTAATTCAACCATTTTGTTTGCTGGTATTGTTTCTTATAATATTGTTTTTATACTTGAGACATGTAGTACTCACGCTATTAGATTTTTGTTCCTCATGTAGTCTCTTGGCTCAAAAAGTCAAAGGTATATCGTTTATAACAAGTTAAAATGATTTTTCATCCTCCTAGTTGAAATAACTAGAGTAAATGATCTTTGTACCATAAAATACCCATTTTTGTTTAGATTTTAGACTTTATGAGTACTGTTACTGCCAGATAAACCAGATTCTGAGTCATATGGGAGGTTAAACGAAGGAGATAACGTAAATTTTTGTTCATACTATTTGAATTCTTCAATATTATATTGGATTTAAGACTTTTAATTCTTTTTCTAGAATAAATGGATTTGAAGTTTAACAATTTTTTTTTTTTAAATCTTGAAAAAACACATTTTCTTATCGTCCAGAATTTAAGAAATCATATATTGACTTTCATTTTTTGAATCTCAGTTTAAGCATATAAGTGTAATTAATTTAAAACATAAAATTTATAATAAGTCGTAGTAGTACATAAACAATGTAACTTATGTCACGTTTAGTGCAATATATGTTAAAACGTTGTAGTTTAACATAAAGATGCTGGCGAATAATGAATCAAATTTACTGATGGCAAAGGCGACGTGGGCTCGCAATAATAAAGGCCGTCCCAACACTGAAATGATGGAAGGCCAAGGTGGCGTAATGTAAGGAATGCATATAAAGGAGCATTTGTAGGATTAAGGAAGAGATTAACTAATCAATTAATAATTAATAAAACATAAACATGATAATAGAGCTAGCTAGGATGATGATTAACAATAAGGAATCCACACGGTTGGGGAATATAACATAAATCCTCGCCGCAAAGCAGGTGCTTGCTTGCACAACAAGATTACGTGTGAACCCAAATATGAGCCTCGTTCGGATTTCCAAACTTGTAGGCACGAAAACAAGATCATTATTATTAAAGTTCCATGAGATTATTCTTCTGTTTCGTAGCACTCAAACAAAGCAGTGAGTCCGCAAAACAATCTAACAAAGTTGAAGCAATATTGTAAACCGCACGTTAAACAATCTTAACCGGTGATTGTGGCATTTAAAACTTGTAACCCAACTTTTTCACATGTCTTTGATCTGCTGGTGCAGTTTTCCTAAACTTGAACCTTGATCATACGATATTTCAGGGACAAGGAGAAAGAAAAAAGAGTGCATTTGCCTGATAATATAAAAGAAACAGTGGAGACTATGAACTATGAAGTGAGTTCTCTAGCGACAGAATGAATAGCTGCACCAGCAACAACGTTGTACATCATCTCTGTGGGATGAACAGCATCCCAGAATACGTATTTGGTTGGATCTGAACATGTCTCCATTCCTCTGCATGATTCCCCATATTCCACTGTCCCTGTCCCACAACATCCCTTTGATCCTTCCTCAAAACCTGCCAAACCCATTATCCTCTGTGTTAAAATATGTATATATAAAAGTGATTCTGGCCAAGCCTTTGATATATCAGAAGACAGTCAAATAGGCTGTGGATTGATATTACTATACCAAGTACTAACCGTGTTTTTTTGGGGTCCAAAACAGCATTGAGCATAGAGTTATAGACATCAACATAGGCAGTTTTTATGCCCAGTTTTGCCTTCAAGGTGGCCAGTTGGCGCAATAGTCTTGCGTTGAATGAGTAAGCTATTTTATTCAAGCTTGCCACACAGTTTTTCTTATTCTGCAACGCTTTCATCAGTGGAATGCATCCCATTGGTGGCACCCCTACCACGACAATTCTATTTGCTCCTAGCCTATGCATTGCCTGCCCAAGTCAAGATTTTGAATGATTTTAGGGATATATAATACTAAGAAACTATTGAAAGCTTGGTCTACTACCGGACATAAAACTTCAATAATATCACCGAGAAATTATTAAGAGGGAAAAAGAATTAGGGAGAGAGAGAACCTCAATGGCATGAGAAAAGCGGGAGAGCAAGAAATTCTGGAATTGTGGCATGCTGAATTGATTAGGGCGAGTAGGATCCAAGAAGTAGTTCTGCAGGAAATCGTTTGTGCCCATACTGACTATGTAAAGGGCATTTCTTACTATGAATTCTGCTCTTTCTGCACCCACTAGTTCTCTCAGATGGATCTTGTAATGCTTAAATACTCTAGCTGTTTTTGATACTGCCAGGACGCTCTGTTTCATCAAGGAAAACAAGAATGTGAGATTAAAAATGTCAACTTTATGGTTGATTCAGAAAAGGCCACAGAATTTACCGAAATATTGGCAGTAAAATCATCGTAACCTGTTGCTGCTGATGCAAAACTAACCCCATGTGGAAGATCTGATGGC